AATACGCTATATGTATTTGCTGGTGATTCGCTTCAAAGTCCAACCTTTCTTACACATTTTAAGACTATTGCTCGCTGTCTGATGACGTCACTCGGCGGGGTCTCATGTGGGGGATTAGCTCAAATGGTAGAGCGCTCGCTTAGCATGCGAGAGGTAGCGGGATCGATGCCCGCATCCTCCAAAAGTATTTATTTTAGGCACAGTTAAATACCCGGAAAGTTTCGTTTAACCATCTGGGTTTGTTCAAAATCACTACCTTTTTATTTTGTTCGTGGCCAAAAGTGTCCAGGTCTGTAATTTTTATTATTTTTATGATTTTTGCCATTTTTCTGCATAAAGCTTTTAACTAACTTCAGTTCTTTCCATAAATGTAAAATAGTTATTAATTTTTACATTTCTGACCAAAGCCAGTTTGATTGTCCACTGCACTAGATGGAAGACAACCTCAAATCTCACAATTATATATATTTGCAGTGCTACTGGAATTTCTTGTATTATTAATAGTACATTAATAGACATGTAATTTATTCACATCAACATTGATTATAATGCATAGTTATTTTTGTGAAGGGAGAGCAAAAACATAAAAACTCCCTCTCATCTTGTTCGTGGCCAAAAATGACCCATGCTTTTTTCAGTAAATGGTAAAAGTTACTACCCTCCTCCCTCTTGTCATTTGCTGTGGTTTATGCTGTGGGATGTGATTTATTTTTTGGTGCTGCGTCTCCAAGAAGAGAATAAAAAGTCCGAAAATATCTGTTCAATAACCAAAATTAATTTTACTTTCATCTCTGAAATACTCTTTCTTACACATTACATATTTTAAGACTATTTATCAGTGTATGATGACGTCACTCGGGGTAGTCTCCTGTGGGGGATTAGCTCAAATGGTAGAGCGCTCGCTTAGCATGCGAGAGGTAGCGGGATCGATGCCCGCATCCTCCAAAGAATATTGTTTTAGGCATCGTCACAAAAACATATGTTTGCACAGTGAAATCCCTCTCATCACTTACTCGGACGGTTCAGTTTAACCCTGGGTTTGTTCAGAATCACTACCCTTTCAGCTTGTTCGTGGTCAAAATTGTCCACCAACATATTAGTTCTGTAACTTTTATTATTTTTTATATTTTTATTATTTTTAAACCCCTTGTTTACGTTTACAAAATGCTATAAAATTAATATATCTTTAAAAAAATCCACTTTCATTGCCTTGATTTTAATTCAAATTCAGAACTTTAACCCTTTAAATACAAGTGACTTTCACAGTCCAACCTCTCTCACACATTTTAAAACTATTTATCGGTGTCTGGTGACGTCACTCACTGACTGATTCAAGCGGCTTGTAATATTATTGGCCACCAGATGCCACCAAAGACGATGGTGTTAAAAAGTAATGAACCTTTGAGTAATGAACACTTTTCTATACAAGCTTCAGTGTTTCAGAAAACTTAATTTGGCCAACACTAGTAACCTCATGCACATAAAACTTAGAGTGTATTCAAAGTAAATAAAGTTTATTTATTTATTATACAGACTTTAAAGATAAAAATTTTCTGTTGATGTAAAACTCTAATGCTAGAGCACTTGCTCCACATGCACAGGCAGTTAAAAAGAAAAAACGTTGGCAGACAGTAAATCTAGTTTAGGGTAAGTCTTTCTTTAAAAGTGACTATTTTACTATTTAAACTATTTAAAGCCCAGTAACAGAAAGGTCTGGGCTTTCCTTGACATCAAGGAAAAGCATCATGGGACATCATGGGAAAACAGAGGAAAAGAAAAATATAAATGATCATGTTGCAAAATAATGTTATTACATATTCTTTGTAGTGAATATAAAACATCTACAATAATGAATAAAAAACAGGAAAACTTCAGAAAATCGAAAAGTCTGAAAAGCAAATAAAATAAGATAAAAAGAAAAAGCTAACAATGTTCTCTAAAAAGAGGTAAAACTAACTATTTGTAGTTTATATCAAGGACACAATACAAAATAAAATATTAAAGCTTGACATCTTTCAGCCAAGTAAATCATTTACTATTTGTATTGATTCATTTTTATTTGGACTGATCTTCGTAATGATGATGTCCTGTATCTTAAGTGCGCATCAGTCCTTGTTTAACATTGTTTTCTTCAATGATATTTGTTACGATTGTACTTTATTCACTTCATGTTGAATGCTTCTGTTAAGCCTTTCAGTGCTTGTTCCTTTGTGATGCTTCTCCAGGCCTGTGGAACATCAGCTGGCTTGGCGTCATAATT